TTTCTCTCTCGACTTGAATCTGTCTATGCCTATATTCCTATCCAGATTCCTCCCCTATTTTTTACATTCAATTCAAAACTTAAAGATTCATTGCTTGCTGATGTTCTAGGAATTTCTTCATTCAATACTAACTCCATGATGTCATCGAAGTTCAATTTTATATTTCCTGATGAGTTACAACCGTGACCAATTCACCTCAGCTATCTGACAATAAAAATCTAATTAATAGTGCCCTGTCCTCTTCATCAAATTTTGATGCCCACAAAATCTAACTGACTAGTCATAGTGTTGAAAGTATTAAAATACTTGGCTACCAAACTACCTTCCATTGTCTTCATATTAAATAATCTCTCTTCGTCAGAAAAAATCTTATTTGAGGTTGAAGGTTTCTCATAAATCAATGTCATTGCCGCCATAAGACCCACTATAGTTTTCTCGTGCACTTTCTTGAGAGCAACAAATGAAGAAAGTGAATGTTGGATCGAACCTAGGGCTATTAGATAAAACACTTCCCATTCTTTCAAAGTCATTGATTCAGGCTTTTTAGTGATTACTTTCAGTGGTTGATGCATAATAAATCTTCCGCTTGGATTTTTTAGAATGCCAAGTTTGATCCCTTGGAATTCTTTATTTTGTACATCATTTTGTCAGTCATTGCTCCCACTCAATTACAAGAACCCTAGAAAAGAACCCGGCTCTGATACCACTTGTTGGGATGATAAACTTGGAGTTTGGTTTATTTACAATCAAAACTACACTGTGAAAGTAGTTATGTATCTTGATCCAACCAGTTGGCTCACGAGATTAATTTTCTCTTTAGATTTGGAATTTGTTTAACTTCACTGAGTTTTCAGACTGTTTCATTTGACAACTTGATATCAACATCATCATTTTTATAACGTTGCAGGCCTTGTTACCTCCCATGTAAACATTCCCTAAATTATTCTGAGTGCAATTTTTAAACATCTCTTTGTTGGGGCATGCATGACACCTGAATCTACTAGTTAAGATTCAATACTGACTAAGGATAAAATCGGGGACTCACCTTGAATTTCCCTTGTGGAGACATTTGCAGAGAGGTTCTTGTTTTGATCTCCGCCATCAGCCTTCCTTGGAGCTTTATAATCCTTAAAATAATATTTATTCCTGTAGTTCCAACATTCACCTCCGTCACCTCTTCCTGACCTGGACTTTTCTCTCTCGACTTGAATCTGTCTATGCCTATATTCCTATCCAGATTCCTCCCCTATTTCTTACATTCAATTCAAAACTTAAAGATTCATTGCTTGTTGATGTTCTACGAATTTCTTCATTCAATACTAACTCCATGATGTCATCAAAGTTCAATTTTATATTACCTAATGAGTTACAATGACCAATTCACCCCAGCTATCTGACAATAAAAATCTAATTAATAGTGCCCTGTCCTCTTCATCAAATTTTGATGCCCACAAAATCTAACTGACTAGTCATAGTGTTGAAAGTATTAAAATACTCGGCTACCAAACTACCTTCCATTGTCTTCATATTAAATAATCTCTCTTTGTCAGAAAAAATCTTATTTGAGGTTGAAGGTTTCTCATAAATCAATGTCATTGCCGCCATAAGACCCACTATAGTTTTCTCGTGCACTTTCTTGAGAGCAACTATAGTGGGTCTCATTGCCGCCATAAGACCCACTATAGTTTTCTCGTGCACTTTCTTGAGAGCAACAAATGAAGAAAGTGAATGTTGGATCGAACCTAGGGCTATTAGATAAAACACTTCCCATTCTTTCAAAGTCATTGATTCAGGCTTTTTAGTGATTACTTTCAGTGGTTGATGCAATTTCTTTTGATATAATAAATCTTCCGCTTGTATTTTTTAGAATGCAAAGTTTGATCCATTGAAATTCTTTATTTTGTACATCATTTTGTCAGTCATTGCTCCCACTCAATTACAAGAACCCTAGAAAAGAACCCGGCTCTGATACCACTTGTTGGGATGATAAACTTGGAGTTTGGTTTATTTACAATCAAAACTACACTGTGAAAGTAGTTATGTATCTTGATCCAACCAGTTGGCTCACGAGATTAATTTTCTCTTTAGATTTGGAATTTGTTTAACTTCACTGAGTTTTCAGACTGTTTCATTTGACAACTTGATATCAACATCATCATTTTTATAACGTTGCAGGCCTTGTTACCTCCCATGTAAACATTCCCTAAATTATTCTGAGTGCAATTTTTAAACATCTCTTTGTTGGGGCATGCATGACACCTGAATCTACTAGTTAAGATTCAATACTGACTAGGGATAAAATCGGGGACTCACCTTGAATATCTTGAATATCCCTTGTGGAGACATTTGCAGAGAGGTTCTTGTTTTGATATCTGCCATCAGCTTTCCTTGGAGCTTTATAATCCTTAAAATAATATTTATTCCTGTAGTTCCAACATTCACCTCCGTCACCTCTTCCTGACCTGGACTTTTCTCTCTCGACTTGAATCTGTCTATGCCTATATTCCTATCCAGATTCCTCCCCTATTTTTTACATTCAATTCAAAACTTAAAGATTCATTGCTTGCTGATGTTCTAGGAATTTCTTCATTCAATACTAACTCCATGATGTCATCAAAGTTCAATTTTATATTACCTAATGAGTTACAATGACCAATTCACCCCAGCTATCTGACAATAAAAATCTAATTAATAGTGCCCTGTCCTCTTCATCAAATTTTGATGCCCACAAAATCTAACTGACTAGTCATAGTGTTGAAAGTATTAAAATACTCGGCTACCAAACTACCTTCCATTGTCTTCATATTAAATAATCTCTCTTTGTCAGAAAAAATCTTATTTGAGGTTGAAGGTTTCTCATAAATCAATGTCATTGCCGCCATAAGACCCACTATAGTTTTCTCGTGCACTTTCTTGAGAGCAATAAATGAAGAAAGTGAATGTTGGATCGAACCTAGGGCTATTAGATAAAACACTTACCATTTTTTCAAAGTCATTGATTCGGGCTTTTTAGTGATTACTTTCAGTGGTTGATGCAATTTCTTTTGATATAATAAATCTTCCGCTTGTATTTTTTAGAATGCAAAGTTTGATCCATTGAAATTCTTTATTTTATACATCATTTTGTCAGTCATTGCTCCCACTCAATTACAAGAACCCTAAAAAAGAACCCGGCTCTGATACCACTTGTTGGGATGATAAACTTGGGGTTCGGTTGATTTACAATCAAAACTACACTGTTAAAAAAAAAGTATCACACCGATTCAAGAAATTATATCAAACAGAAATGCACAACAAGATAATCCCAAAAAAAATTCAAGATTTAATATGGAAAAAACTCGATAATGGGAAAAAACTACAAAGTCACATTACACCAAAATTCTACTATAAAAAAATCAAGAGAAATGTACGGATCTTACAACACTTAGTTCAACTCTACTTCTGGAACTTACAACTTTGGGATGTTCCTTCTCTCTCAATCACAAAAGAGAAATCTCCAAAATCCTTCTTCGACACTTCACTGCTTCATGCAAAAGCATCATTAGAGTTCTTTCTTGTGAGAGAGTTCTTCACGCAAGAAAATTACAGTACCGTCAATACTATCACTTCAAATCGAGGGCCTAAGTTCGTAACTTGAGATGAACGGCTTTGTTGTGCCCCCACCACTATCCAATGTGGGGGTGTCGCTCACTCTGTTTCGGCCCCCACCACTCTCCAATGCTGGGGCGTCGCCAACTTTGTTCCAGAACACGGGACAAAAGAACTCGCGGCTCACCCGCACCTAGGGGTGTAAACGAGTCGAGCTTGAGGGAGCTTAATGTTTGTTTGTGTTTGGCTCGTTTAAATTTTTTCTGTTCGTGTTCAAAATAACTCTTGAACAAATGTTTTGTGTTCAACTCAATTCAAAACCATTTGTTAGAATTTTGCTCATATTCAGCTCGAATTTAATTCAAACACCTTATTTAATATAATTTAATTATTTTTAAAATTTAAAAAATTAATTGTGTTCTTAACCGGCTTGCAATTCATATGCTTAATTGAACTTTTTTTCACACCTTCCCTTCCACCTTCTTGATGTGGGACAAAAGTGTGAGATTACGCCATCGTCCATGGAATGCACGTGGTCTTGTCTTCCCAAATTATTTTGGTTTATCAAGTTAAAAGCCACGCCACGGAATGCACGTGGGTCCTTTCCCAGCTCCCTGTAGCCAGGCCAATGAACTTAAAAGAGACTTTAACCTTTAGGCCCAGTTACATACACACCGACCAATTTTTTTTTATTTACATATCCAACACCTAAACTTATATTTTTTTTTATAATTATACTACTAAATTATAATTTAAATGTAATAAAATTTAGCATTTTTAATAAATTTAAAAAATTAATATTAAAAAGATATAAATAAATATAATTATTTATTATTTAATTCTTTCGAGCCAAGGCGGACACAATTGAATAAATGTTTGTTCGTGGTCGGCTCGTGTACATTTCAAGTTTAAAAATTTGTTTGTGCTCAATTATTGGGCATCACGAATGGGCCGAACAAGAGCTATTTGCGAATGACGACCCATTTTGACAACCCTACTTGTGCCACTCACAGGTGCAGGGGTGCTACCTGCTCGGAACCCAAGCAAGGGGGCGCCACTCTACCTTTTGGCTCTTGGGCACCCTTGCTGTGGCTGACTCCAATCAGGCTCCACAAGTCAACAAAAATACCCTACCATTTTAACCTTGTAAAAGTGAAATACACCTTTTCCAGCATACTTAAGGTGGACATGTGTAAAAATTGAATTTTAGATGTTAGATAGGTAAATACATAGGAATATAGTGGTATGCAAGTAAATCTTCCAAAAATTTATGAAGTCTTGCTGGAATCTGAATGAGACATTTTTAAGACCATATGAACCTATGTGAAATGACTCTTATTACTCAAGGACAAATGTAATTTATTCTCAATCTTTGTAAGACGAAAGTTATGCTAAATTATTTGTGTGTGAAGATGGAAAGGTGAATCATTAAGGGAAAGCATCAAACGCCATGAGCATTTTCTTGCCCTTCAATTAGGTCTCAAAAGAGGAATGAAGGTATTACATACACCTATTATGCATGCATGCTATTATTTATTTGAATTTCTGAATACTATGTTTATTGATGAAACTTTTCGTTTACTTTTTGATATAGGTATTAGATGTTGGATGTGGAATTGGTGGCCCTATGAGGGAAATATCTCGATTCAGGTGATACATTTTTCTGTGTTTTTCCTTTTAAGTTTCATAAGTTCCTCAACTTTCTTGTAATTTTTATGTGTTATCTTGAACACCTATACTTTGATATTTACTTATATCATACATAGATTTTTAATATGACAAAAAATATTACTAATATTAAATTTTCCAAGTTACTTTGATATTTACTTATATCATACATAGATTTTTAATATGACAAAAAATATTACTAATATTAAATTTTCCAAAATAACATATTTCTATGAATATTTTTTGATGTGATTGTGGCACTAAAGGTTTAGACATCTAAATATTAAATTTTAGAAGTTAGATATGTAAATACATAAGAATTGTTTTAACAAGTGTTGTTGATTAGAAGAAATAGTGGTTATGGTGATAAGAATCTTACTTTCGGACTAATTGCAGCTTAGCATCTATTACTGGGTTGAACAACAATGAATACCAGATAGCCAGGGGCACTGTAAGTATATTTATTTACTTGTTGATCAATGTAGTTTTTGCAGCTGTCATCTTGCTTTGTTTAAAATAAAAGTTTAAACGCAGCAACTTATTTAAGTTTTGAGGTTATTCATTTTCTATTGACAGATACTTATATTCTTTTATCACTTTTCAGGAGTTAAACCGCCTTGCTGGGCTGAGCAGCTCTTGCAATTTCGTGAAGGTCCACTTCAATCTTTTATTTTATTTTTTTGTTTTTTCCCCCTATATTGATCAGTGAAGCAACTGCCTGTCTGTTTTAATGTCATGTTGTCTCACTAATGTCTGCCTGAAAGCTTCACCATCTTTGGCATGTTTCTGATATCTTTGTTATCTTCTATGTAATTTGTTGATTTTTTATATATATATTTTTATGATTTAATAGGTCTTCATTCTTAATGCAGGCTGATTTTATGAAAATGCCTTTTCCTGACAATACCTTTGATGCTATATATGCTATAGAAGCAACCTGTCATGCTCCTGATGCTGTACTTCTTCACCAAGCTTTTAATCTTTTGCTCCAATCCATCCTTTTGAGCGTGTTTTATTCTGGCATAGAGACTGATACTTTCTGTGTTTTTTTTTTTTGGGCCATTTACATGCATACCGCCCAATTCTTATGTATTTACATGTCTAACAACCTTTATTTATTTATTTTTCTTTTTTACATTTATACCACCCAAATATTTCTCATCACATAAAAAATACCACTATTTTAAGTTTTAAAAAGTGAAATACACCTATTTATGCATAGGTGAGTGGCATATATGTAAAAATTGAAGTTTTAAGTGTTATATATGTAAATACATAAGAATTAAGTGGTATGTATGTATATCCTTCTGCTTGTTTTTGTTTAGCTTGGATGTTACAAGGAGATATACAGGGTATTGAAGCCCGGGCAGTGCTTTGCTGCTTATGAATGGTGCTTGACTGAACATTATGACCCCAGCAATGAAAGTCATAAGAAGATAAAGGCAGAGATTGAGATTGGTGATGGACTTCCTGACATAAGATCAGCACATCAATGCCTTGATGCCTTAAAACAAGCCGGATTTGAGGTAAAAATCTTGAGAATAACAAAGAAAATAGGGGTTATTACGAATATTAACCATGACTTACATTATTGAAGATCATCTGGGAGAAGGATCTCTCGCTCGATTCGCCTTTACCATGGTATTTGCCATTGGATACCAGCCATTTCTCCTTGAGCAGCTTCCGCTTGACAGCTTTCGGACGTTTCATCACAAGAACAATGGTGAGAATATTCTTTTTTCTGGTAATGCAGAACATCAACAATCACCTTTTTCATATTATTCTGAAGGCAGTTTTGTTTTTATTTTTTTTTGGCTTTTTTAGGTTCAGACGCTAGAATTTCTGCGTCTTGCTCCAGCAGGAAGTATGCGAGTTTCGTCATTCTTAGAGAAGGCTGCAGAAGGTCTGGTAGATGGCGGAAGGTTAGTCTAAAATTATCATTCTTAGAGAAGGCTGCAAAAGGTTTGATTGAAATGAAATGAAATTGTTAAGGTGGATTTGGAAAAATTAGAAAGGATTAAAAATCATTATATAGAAAGGGATGATGAGGATAGCATCTATTGAAAATGTGATAATGAAATAAATTAATTCAAAATATTTTATTATACTCACATGAAGGGTTAACAATTTAGGATAGAAGTTGTGTGCCAAAAGAGTGCTACAATATGGATTTAATATGTCATGTAACACTCAATAATAAGAATGAATAAAGAATAACAATTGATAAAATCAATTCAAAATAGTTGGATTGATAATATTATGTTGTCTACTGAATTACTTACTGATCAAGGGATGGTGTGGTTTATTTGTCCAGGATGGAGATCTTCACTCCCATGTACTTCTTTTTGGCCCGGAAGCCTCTTTCAGAATCATGAGGAATAAAACTAATGGAGAGGACATTAATGAGAAATCAGAATTGCTGTTGAAGATGATCTCTTCATCGCCATTTGAAGTCCACCCTGTGCGCGTAAGATTAAGAAAAATATGTCTGTATGTGTGCGACTGTTTTTTCATCATTTTGCTATGAACATTTTCATACATTCTGAAATGTTTTATAATACTGTCTGTACCATTTCATGTTTTTGGTGCAATTTCTTTTACATTTTTTTTTTTTTTTTTTTAATTGAATTTGTAGGGTGCTAAATTTATAAGTTGTGTATTTGAAAATTTCAGCATGAAATATTCATGATTATGATTTCATGTAAAAATTTTTATTTTAATTGTCGTTCAAATAATTTAAGTTAATTCTAACATGAGTTTTATTTATATATTTATACATTAATATTTATTATAGTATTAATATATTAATAATATTTTACAAATTAAAGTAATATTGTAAGAACGTATGATCATATATAATTATATAAATAGAAAGATTTGCATTCTTATGTCCTAACCTATGCATGATGATATGCATGATAATGTGCAAATGCATGGGAATTGGGTGGTATGTATGTAAATGCCGTACATATAAATGTATTACAATTATAAATTGCTGGAGATAGGGGCGGTGCCTCGTAAAGAAAAAGGCCAGTATGCTGTACATATGTAAATGTCCTACATATAAATATATCACAATTATAAATTGTTGGTGATAGGAGCGGTGCCTCGTAAGGAAAGACCAGTATGGGGGTGAAGGCAGCTAGTTTGAAGATGACGAGTTCAAAGAATCTACGGGTCTTTAATTTTTGGCATCATTGTTACAACTCTTTAGACAGTATAATTTGTATATTTATAACATTTTAATGTTATAAATCTATACATAAAAAGTATATTTGACATTTAAGAATTAAAAAAAAAGTGATTTTTATATGATGTAAAAGATCTGAGTGTTATGAACAAAATTATTAAAATTTGGGTGTTAGATATATTAATATATAAGAATTATGTGTTATCGATGTTAATGCCTCTAATAATTATGATTAAATTTGTCCATTTTCTTAAGAGATAATATATTTGTAGTATCTGCAACAATTAAAAATGTTGTAGGCACCCCCATATAGGTCCTACATGTTTATAGACTGATCCACATACCATAATAGTTGGCCATTAAACATTTCAGTATTCATATATATACCTAATTCATAAAACGCCCTCAAATTTTTTTTATATAATTTACAAATTATAATATGTAAATTGAATAGAACTCCTAACAAGCTCAATTATACCACACTTTTAATGGAGAAAATATTGCATCATAAGTACTGATATAATTTCATGGGCGGTGGTAGTATTTAGGTGTGTTATTTCACCAGAATAACACCACAACACTACCAATAACACCTCTAATAATACCATCCACACATATTCAAGATGTATGTCATCCAGTTGTAATATTTTTTCCTTCTCTTTCTCTTAATACCATTATTGTAAATCATGACAGAAGTTAAAATTTTTATTTTAAAATTAAATAAATTAATTGCATATATTGAAGTTACAAGCCTTAAATACCTTCTCCAATCTTGATTTTTGAGTTGTTAGGGAAAATTAATGACATGTGTGACCTATCAACAAATGCTTTTAAGTGGTGGGGCCATGATTTAACTCTTTTAAGTCCCCCCAACCATCAACTAATACTTATAAGGGATGGGTCACTATTTATTTTCCTTTAATAGAAACTTTAAGGATATGGTCCCCAACCACTTGCTTCACTGTTCATTAGCGCATAGAAAATGCAGATAAACATTGACCTCAATACTATTAATGCTGAAAATGATTTTTTTTTTTTTAATAGGGTAATACAAAAAAAATGTATGGAAGTTTACATGCCATACCATTCAATTCCTATGTATTACATATTTATCACCTGAACTTTTGCATGACCTCTTACTTATGCATGACTAGGAAAAATGATATTTTGAATTGGTGTGTAAGATTTGAGGGGTATATAAAAAAAAATGATGTTTAGATTTTAGATATGTAAATACATAGAAATTGGGTGGGTATTTATGCAAATGACTCAAATTTGAAATAGAGGGAAAATAATGCATTGAATGGAGAAGTATTTTGTTTTGGGTTGATGTGATTCGAGCATGGGATCTTTGGGTGAGGAAAAGTCTTGTGATGGGTCATTATCTTATCCTCACTAGACAGGCAACTTGAAGCTTGAGAAAACATGGACAATGAAGATGGGGGGAGTGGTGATTGGGCATATTATTGAATGCTCACATCTTCAGATAACTTTGTGTGAGAGAGACAGACAGAAAGTTTAATAAGAACATAAACATATCCCAAAGAAGGATCAAATACAAAAAGAAAAAAATGAAATAAATGGGTATGGACGTTTTGATCTTAAAATTTATATCTATTTCAAGATTAGTTTAATACTCTAATAATGATATGCCATCACCAAATGTTCATCATCTCATATGACTCTCGATAAATGACACGAATTTCAAGACAATTTTTTTAGTCAGAAATGTTCAAAAAAATCATCAAGTACTTGGGTTGCAACAAATTTACTGTCAAAATGAACAGCTCGACGAGACGGACCGAATAGTACCAAAATTGGGCCAATCCAAGTCAAATCAGACCGAGATCAAAATATATTTGATTTGAGTGCTCACTCTATTAAAATAAAAAACAACAAGAATATATATAGTCAAAATGAAAATGCATTAACCTCTATCATTTTGAATGGATACTTAAACGAACAGACTGGAAGATGCCTTGAACATTAAAAAAGACTGATTTTTGTTAAATTAAAGAAATCAGCCCAATTTCATCAAATAAAAAATTATAACTGAATTATTTTCCACACACACACACACACACACACACAGAGGGCCGCAATGTGAAGTCTCCATGCATTGTAGGGAGGTGGGGGATAGCATAATAAAGTCTGTAGTGAATATAAATAACACCATACCTGGAATGCCTTTAACCTGTCTTCTTATCTGCAGCTGTACCCTCTTGTTGGCTTCAGAGAGTGATCGTCAGAGTTGGAGCTCTGAGGAAGAGGGGGAGGTACACCCTTTCTCAACACATATATTCATTATGTAATTAATGATATTGCACGTTTTGCTATAAATACCAGTGCTACTATTTTGTTTCAGTTATATATATATATATATATATATATATATATCAGTTTCGTTTGTTTGTTCTGCGATAAAACTCTTTTTTTTTTTATTATTTGTATATCTCTCCCTTCAATCTGATAAAGTTTGTTCACAATTTTGTTGAAGGGGGCTGTTTTTACACATATTTTAAGTAAATTTTCATTTAAATCAAGCTAAAAATAACTTTTGAGTTGTTTACATGTTGAATTGCTTTTAGCCAAAATTTCACTTAGATCATGCTTAAAAAATTTTGAGTTCTTAAACTTTGATAGATCAAGATTTAATGAATATATAAAAACAAGCTGCAAATGATTTATTAGAATTTAACGAACTTTATTATTTGCATGCAAAAGACTATTTAAACTTTAATCATCATAAGTTGGTAGTGCCCCATTAACAAGATTTGTTAGTGGAATTTATTACTTTCATTGAGTTATGAAATTTTGAATTTAAGATTCGAATTTTACCTTCAATTCATGTTAAATCCGGATTTATTAAATTCAGCAAGGAGGTGAATTTAAGGAATCCATATTTACTAAATCCTACTACTGAACATTAAATTCTTATTGCAGCCAAACACCCAAGGTTTACTATATAAAACATAAGAAGAGAATTTTGCATACATACCAAACAATTCTTTCCTATTTACATATAAAACATCTAAAATTTGATATTTATATTTGTTATATTTTCTTACCATGGATATATGCATGTGAATATATATTTCACTTTTAAAAGTAAATAATAATAATAATTTTGACGTGGCATTAAGAATTTCAGTGTCATGTCTGCAAATATAAAGGTTTAGATGCTACATATATACATACATAAGAATTATGTGGCATGTATGCAAATGTACCCCTTACAAAATCCAACGTGAATTAAAAAAAAAAAAAAGAGAATTATGTGGCATGTATGCAAATGTACCCCTTACTAAATCCAACTTGAATTGAAAAAAAAAAAGGATAATTACATGCACAGCCCCCGAAAGATTCTTATTTATAAAATCTAGCGCCCAGGTGATATTTTTGAACTACTCAACTGGTGATTTTATTTTTTATTTTCCCAGCAAGAGGATTTGTAGATGGATTTCGCTACAGGGATTGGACAAAATATTAAGAAGGAAGATGTCGAATCAGCTGTGGAGAAGTATTTATCTTCTTGCCTTCTATAATTTATTTATTTATTATCACAAGCATTTGTGATTGAGTACTACAACTTTTGTGATTTAAGTCTATGAATTGATATTGAGCAAAAGGAGCATTAACAAAAACCATAGAATTATGAAAGTGTAATTCAATAACTGAAGAGGGGCAAGAAGAGTTTGCATCAATTTAGAAAGAGGGCTTAAACGCATCATAAAATAAAAAATTATTGCAAGATGACCCCCAATGCATGAAGTAGACACAAAATATTCATCTAGAGCAAAGAAAAGAAAAGAAACAAGATTCAATTACACTATTTGCCAAGAGAAAATCCTTTCAATCAAACATGAATCCTGATGCAGCTTTTGAATGACTTCTAACTCCAATGATCATTATAGAGATCATCCGACTATCATTATTTGATCATCATCATTTGACTGCCTACACCTAACCGTCATCGTCGTCTAGCCTCTATTATCTGTCG